TCAGCCAATAAAATTTAATTTTGACTGTGTAACAAGGAACAGGAAACAGGAACGGAACAACTTTGAACACCCCTAATATGTATGATCAAAACTATCCTTTCCAAATTTTGCAAGTCTTAAATTGTCATCTATAGCATGACCTTTTTGACCAGATGAATTATTGAAAGGGCCAAAGCTTATTTCACCATAAAAAATTCATAATTATGATTAAACAATTTGTTATACAGATAGCAAAAGACATCAGGAAATTTAACAATATTTGAATTGGTGTTGTTTCGTCTTGCTGTTGCTTGGGATTTTTTGCCATTCCTATAAAAATTAACAATTAAATGTATTTTTTATAAATTACTATAAAAAAGGACATCACACAAAAATTATACTTACCATATCTTATGAATAGGATTAATGTTAAAGAACAAGAATGATATAATATATGAAATACATTCAACTTTCCATGTGTCCTCATTGACCTGAAGTTCCGCATCCTGAAATAATTCATCATCCCATAATTTTTTAAATTTTTCTATTAACTCCTGAACAGCAACAATCATTTTTTTGTCATTGATTATATGAATTTGGTCAAGTTGAATTGTTGTATCATTACCAAGCAAAGTTTCATGGATGATTTTTTTAATCTCATGTGAAAATTTAGATTCTTTAAAATCAAATAATATCTTATATAATAAGTTCTTTTCTGTAATAAACTTGTATAAAGAAAGACTTTTGTTCATGATTTCATCTTTATATAAAATACCATTGATCATGTATGGGCTTGTCACAATCTTTGTCTTAGATAAGTATTCTGATATCTTTCTTATGAACAGATCTTTTGAATCTCCGATGGTCTACAAAATTATAAAATGGGTATTTATAAAATAAAATAAAAATATTGTTTAATGGTGATCAGTAAAAATCCTCACCTCAATTATTATATTTTTATTGTTTCTTGTGTTTATAAGGTTTTGTGATGTTTCTTCCTGTGTTTATAAGTAAAAAATTTAAGTATACATCCATGAAATCAGAATAATATTTTATGTAATTCTCATATGATTTACTTACATTTTTATTATTGTTATCATTTATTCTATGGAATAGAAATCAATAATTTAGTTTAGTCAATAATCAATATACAAATTAATTAATTAATTTTTCTAACTTACTGATTAAAGATTCTGATCAATCTTCTTGGAATTTTATAGTAGTTACTGATAATGATAGTAATTCGTTATTCTATGGGTTGAAAGGTTGGTCATTAAAAACAAAATAATCAATCATATTCATTTGAAGAGAATATAATTTACTTACTTCATTTTCTTTTATATTTGATAATTGTGAATATGACTTTGTATTATGTCTAAAATTAAATGCAAAGAGACCAAATTTTAAATCTAAACTAGAGTAACAACAAAGTTGTAATGCATCATAACCACCACCACCATCCTTAAAACACTTACCCATATGTATCTTTAGTTTCTCCTTCGCGTCTTCTTTTTGATTGACGTGGCATGTTTTAATAAAAAGAAGTTTGTTATTTGATCAACATATAACACATTAATTATTTATCCTATTGGTTTTTTTTTTCTGGTATATAGGACAGACGCGAATGATTTTTTTTTTTTTTTTGGAAAAACAATTTATTTATTTTTTGATAGAGTCCAAGGTGACAAAACGTGAGTGTTGTTGTTTGGTTTGGGTCTCCTAAAGAAAACGTGTTAATAACTAACCAG